TGTGTCGTGTCGATCCCTTGGCTTCCTGCTCCGCCCACTACGGTATAGCAAAAGGCACGGTAGCTGTACACAGCCCTTTATGGAGAGAAAATCAGTAGAAACATTCGTAAGGAAAGCGTAAAACTTAATAAACATCACTTACGATGAATCATAACCGGTGTACTCTAGGCCGCTGCAATTCGTGTTAGTCGTGGAGCACATTCCTTCAATGGCTAATCGCATAACAGGCTTACATAAGTCCATGCGCTACTTTGATCTGAGTCGCAATCAATAGACGTAAATGTTACGGAATCAAGAAAAAATTAGGGTATGACCATACCTTTATCTTCAAACACCCGGCAATGAACGGTAATCACCAAGATCTTCACGAGTATCGATGCCTAGTCATATGATACTTTCTGACTACCGCAAGCTATCAGATGATTGCCTGAATTACTCAACTGTTAGAACACGAAACACATATATGATCTCCAGTCTGCGTGATTAAGTTTTTGATGTTATATCTAGAAATAATAAGACAATAGTGAGACACGGATACACACTCAAAAATACTGTTACGAGGTGCAGCTATCTGAAGAGAGCAGTGGATAGTGGTAACGGTGTGTTGTAACTTTTTTATTTGTAATTAGTGAACCACCATAACTACTCAGTAGTGTATCACGCTCAATCTAGGTGCTGTTCGATATTTTTACAGCCATACGTGTGTGCACACTTCACAATTAAGAACATCAAATAAGTCCAATAAACCATACACATTACCGACATGGAAAACTACAAAACTCTTGGGAAACTCTGGTCAGCCCCACCATATCCCCATTGCGACCACTATAGAGGTTTTTATCTTTCTGATGGCAACAGCTAGGGAGATTTGCTCTCACGTCACCAACCAAATTGCTTCACCCCTGAAATTAAACAAGGGACATATATGTTATAACAAGATTTGACTTGTTCATGGGCGGAAACCCAACAAGCGCCTACACTTTAGAACAACAGTTCCCGGTTTGTCACACTGGTGGTCGCTGATGCCATAGTAGACCACTGTGTGAATCAAACCCTGAATCCTGCACACATTTGAATATATAACCGCCGGATTTTACCGTAGGTCACGAGCGAAGACATACACAGCTGGTAGGCTTTCATTGGGAGGAAGCTTGGCTTGAAGTACACGAGGTCCGGACATGTGCAGCATGAGAGGAAAAGCATGCCTGATAGTAGACTCGAACCACCGTCCTCCCGCTCTACCTTTGACAAGTTATTACGGGACCAATCACAACATATGGCGGTTATTTCATGGGAATGTTGCGGATGGAGTCTATTTGCTGGTCGCAGTATTTCACAAATACATTACATAGTATGTCATACACAGCTTCCAAACAGCATGCAAACGAAGGAACAACTCAAGATGCTTCAAATAAGACCGCTTTAAAACGTTTTTGAAATGCTTGCGATAGCATACTATTCACTTTCTATGGTTATTGTTATTAACGTAGTAAAATCTCCGCTATCCCTGCCTCCACTTCCCTGAGCCCGAGAAATGTTAGTGCCACAAGCTACCGAACATGAGGTGTGAACCCAACCCTGACTTTTCGATTATTTCCATTTACACCTGGCAGCACTTCATTAAGATCAAACGGCTGGGCGACTTCAAGAAAAAGTCCCGTTACGAGTTTCTGTTACTCAAAGAGATATTGGTCTGTCTTTTAGACCTTATTGCGGATCCGTATTCGCCTTTCAAATTTAGAATCTGTGCCAAAACAAAAAAGTTTAGGAAGCCACAGCAACAAAAAACATTATTAATCACAGGCTCTGGATGTCTTCACAGATAGTCAGTTGTTTGATCAACCTACAAACATAGTACAGGGATGTGGTATCTGTCGCAAGGAAAAAGCCACCTGGATCTGCAGCAGAGGCTAGGTTCCATTTGAGAGCTGGTGCACAACGGTATCTTCATGCGACTTTTGACAAATCCAGTCAATTAATTTTAGCTAGAACAGAATACTCCAGCGGTGGAATGGCTTTCCAGGAAGGCAGGTGACTGAAGCTAGGCAGCGACGCGATGTGCGTCGTTGCAGCGATTGTGACAACCACCCAAGCACATCTAAATGGCTGACTGGCACCTGAAAACCATTCATAAAGAAGACGGTGTAAACTGTATATAATGCAAACAGCTGCAGAACTGGAAAGTTCAAACTTGCCTCATAGCGTGGACGCATAAGACCAGCCAGCCAGAGGTACGACTGAGGGAAAGCGACCAGAAGAGTGCGTTGTTCCGCTGCCCGGTACCACATCTGAACAAGACAGCAATAGGCCTGTTCATAAATGGCTGACGTTGAGGAACATTCTGAACTAGTAGGATAAAGACGCGTTAATATGTGTGTTGTGTGGCGCAATGTGGTGATCAAGCGTTCAACAAACTCATCCGAGGTGGTTGATAAAGGTTGTTTGAAGCACACGGTGAAGACTTTGAGGAATGCCATAATTTGGTCAGGTGTACCTGTCTGAAGCTGATTTGCCAGAGAGCACGGCGTCAAATTTTCTAAATCTTGGGAATTCAGAAGGTATTCATGTGGTGGCTTCGTTGTATGGATACTTAGTACGGTCGTTTCGGCCCCAACAGCAGGTTCGGACAGTTCCAACGGGGATTGATCTGAGCTGATGGAAGCGGGTGCCTTGCAATGCTCAAACAAATTGGAGTTGCTCGAAACGGCAGAAGAGAAGAGCAAATCGAACAAAGAATATGGCTCCGGAGGAGTAGGAAACGGTCGGTGCTTAGACTGCAACGTCAACAAGGACTTCATCACCGCCGGCAAGCTGGGGTGTTGCAGCACATTCTGATTGAAGTTCAAGAAATTCTCCTGCGAATCCGGACCACAGCGTCGGCACTGGAGCCACTCATAACAGGCTGTGAAGGAGAAAATGAGCATGCCCATAGCCCAGGCGCACAAGGTTGGCATGTTTGTGCGTTGCAATGATACATGATCTGATAATTCTGGTAGTATGTTAGAATTAAGACGTTCTATGACGGTCCAAACGCCCCTACCTTCCAAATCAAGTCTATCCACATTACGCAGGGCACCCAGTTCCAACAGACATAGACAAGTGGTAAATATGGCAAACGAAATGCTAGACTGCCGAAAACTGCATTCAAGTCCATTGAGAAGGAGAGATGTCAGATTTCCACGAACGTGTAATGGCAGGCGGGAGAAGAAACCATTTAGCTCGTGTATCAGCGTAAGATATTGTTTAATTGACCTTTTAGGGGGAATGACTTCTGCAAGATTACGGCGTATTTGTAACAAAAGAGAGGTGACATGCGCACGTTCATTCGCAGGCAAGCAAGAGATAAACTGCTGCAGAACTTTGTTTGGTTTCAGATCTTCCGAATTCGCCATTAATTGATCGGCTGTAAGGCGGAAAATGAAGAGAGTGAAAACGGAGTACCTCAATGAGGGACACAACTATACGCGTTGGGAAAAGAAACAGCATCTAACACACAAACATTTGAAGCTTGAAAGCATGATGACTGATACTATAAGCGCGATAGGTAGCAGCAAACGAAGTGGAGGATGTCGGCGAATAAAAATGGCGAAAGTTAAAAACTAGAAAATGGCGAGATAAAATGAAAAAACTGGATTTGCTGATTCAAATAGCCCTTTTCTGGAGAATAGTACAGGTCAATATATGAACGAACCACCGCAACCTCTGGAGCTGGATGCATTCTTTGACTGGAGCTCTGTTTCACAACACCCCCCCCCCTTCTAACTGCACCCACCTGCACGAGTTATGGCGCTGAGCTTAGCCGCTATAACCAAATCACCAAATGCGATCCAAACCTGAAAGTAGATGATTAACTTCACCCGTCACATAAAAGTTGGAGCGTATACAAATTTCGTGATATGTAAAAAAACCACTACCTCAAGTGCATCACTAGGGACGTGATCCTATACTTTGTGGGTACAAAGCGCATGCAAACGGGTAGAATGACTTCGTCCAATCTTACAAATAATACCTATTTTCTTTCCTCTCCTCGAGGACGGGAATGATGCCGTCTTCATATCCCAGAGGAAAAGGGTTTACGTCAACAGCGATCCGAACAGGGTTTTAATACCGTCAGCGTTCGCCTCATTGTCTGGTCGACCACAAAACTGAACAGAAACAGAATCCACTTTTTGTTCGAAAGAATTTAGAGAGCTTACCGTGTACTCTCACATATTCACAAGTCTGAAGACACCAAAAGGTTTATTATCTTGATAAACCTCTGGGGCTTTCCAATCTGAGCAAGTTTGTTGAGGAAAATACACGGCAAGATTTGAACCAAAAGGTTTATTATCTTGATAAACCTCTGGGGCTTTCCAATCTGAGCAAGTTTGTTGAGGAAAATACACGGCCAAGATTTGAATGCACCTTGAAAATTCAGGAATGCTTTACATCTATACGTAAGGCATTGTCTTAGCACCTGAACTATGGTCAACGCAGCACACATGAGGCCGCTTGCTGCTTTCGAGTCAGTGATTTACGGGCCACCGTAGGACGACGAGGAACAAGAAACGCTACGAATCTCTTTACAACTGAAGTCCATGCGACTGCTCTGTGACCGCCGAAATCTCCACGGCCCCTTTTTGAAAACGGACACTATTACCAAATCATTCCATTTGGTTGGGGCAGTCTTTTTTATCAAATGGAGACGAATCGATAGGACAATCGCTGACTAAGGATCTTACTCATATCCCTTAGCTATGCGGGCAGGAGGTCATTCTGTCCAACAGCTCGGTGGCACTTGAGGGGAGGTGTGCAGTCATAAACCTCCAAGGCCGCAAGGGGTTTCAGGTTCACAGTCCAAGGTTCTAGTGCAGTTCGATGATCAGACTGGCAGCAGGACGAGTGTACGGTCGGGGTCCTCCCAAATATTCCAAAAGGAGCAATGGTTGATTATCTATGCACACAACTGGTAATTGATGGTGATGCAATAAAATTGTCTGTGGCTGGCATCCGTTGGACGGCACCATGTTGCCAAACGATTTCCGTTATTCTAGAGGCTAGTACTGCTTAAAATCTGTAGTCAAAACAACTGGAGCAATCGTTCGCCACTGTCCGTACGTACGGCGTTTAACCAAGTCGACCCATCTTCGCGCTACGTCTGGCATGCTGTACATTCAGATCAGTTGTATAACGGTAGTTAATGCATCACAAAAGTAGTCTTCGATATTGTCGGAGCTACGATAGATTGGGGGTAGGCAGACAGTATGGACGGAAAAACAACCACCTGCTCGTTTGAGATTATTTCACGGGTGTTGGTCGGACGAACCGCAAAAATGGCGGGCTATTGGTGAGTAGTCTTTCAAAGGATCAGTTTTCCACCCGATACCGGCCCTTAGGACTTGCTGTAGCAGCTCCTGGATCGCCAGAGGTGCGCCACTCGAAGCGACCGGAGGGTGACGGAGCAGTTAGCCCAATAACTGTGCTCGCTCAAATTCCAGTTTCCGATCCGCAACATATATTAATTTCAAGCGGGTCCAGCATTCGAACAACGACACCCTGTGTCCACCTACTTCAGAATGTGAATATCAGGAGCAGCCAACGCTTGAATATTAGTTTTGAGATGCCTGAGATTGTCTGCACCAACTGATCCTCAGATGTTGCGACCACGGCCGACCCAAAATGGACCGATGAGCCTACAAGGAGTATTATTAATTGGTGGTGAAATGAAGAGAGTTTGTGAACAAGAAAGAAGAGGGACATCAGCAGTAGCCTAGTTTCACCTGCTCGCTCTGCTGTATGCAGCAGGTAAGACAATCCGGTTGATGGTAAAACGCGACAGCTGGTGTGGTATGGGATTATTTTCGGTTAAGAAATACTGGTTGTACGCAGATCGAGATAAAAATTTAAATCGTTAAGCTGTAGCACTCTTTCGGTGGAGAACTTTGCAAACCTCGGTAGTTGCATTAGTTCTGACGGAAGTGTCTGATGAAGACAGTGGAAGAATCTCAAAGGCTCGAATCACGTTTGCGAAGTTGCGTCACTTTTGGCGTCAAAAAGACATATCACTAGATTCTAAGGGTCGCGTGTTGCAGGCTACAGCAACGTGTTGTTGTATGGGTGCGAGACATGGCCTCTGTGGGTAGATGACGTGAGGCGTCTTCAGGTTTTCGACCATCGATGCCTCAGAAGCGTTCTCACGAGTCAAGACTTCGCGCGCCGCCATGACGAAGAATCAATGACGCCAGAAGCCTTGTCACAACAGTCGTCACGCTAACACCTCTGTGGTTGTTACATTCACTGCGAGTACCGTTTTTGAAAATGGGTACCACTATCGATTCACCAGTTGTCTGGGACAGTCTCCTTCTCCCAGATAAACCCAAATAGGCTAGACAGGCACTGGCTGAGGAATCCACCGCCATTCTTGAAAAGAGCAGGTGGAAAGTTGTCAGGACCAACAGCACGATGACGCTTGAGTAGAGAAATGCATTTGGACACTTTTGAGATTGAAGGCGGCTCATTATTTACGGTCCACCTTTCTGTTGAAGGCCGGGTTTCTGGATTGGGGGTAGCAGGTGGCCAGCTGAATTGCTGTTCGAAGTACTGTGCCCAGCGGTCCAGACGTTCTACTTTGCTGCATATCAGGGAGCCATTTTGGTCCCTGATTGTTTCACTGACAAGAGGTTTCCGAGGACCAGTCGAACGAATCAAGTGGAACAATTTGCGCACGTTTCCAGCATTCTTTGCATCTTCCATTTCTTCGACCTTTCGGGTCCACCAAGCTTCTCGGTCTGCGCGGACACTCAGTTTCACCTGGCGTCGGGTGATGCGCCGGATGGAGTTGTGGTGGCGACCAGGTGGGATCTGTCGCCGGGTCTCCAGCAAGGACACGGTCCTATCAGAGGTCCAATGCTTGGTTGAAGTTGGCCGGGTTGTACCGCAAGCAGACGCTCCTGCTTTGAGAAGCGCCTTGGATACTTCTCCCAGTGGCCGTTTATATCCGACACCGTACCGGCCGGCAGGCATTCGAGGAGCTGATTTTGACAGTTCCGTTTGACTTCTGGGTCCACTAGCTTCTGAATGGCTAAGGGAGGTGTGCGCGTTTTGCGTACACCTGAAAAGCGCAATGAAAAGTACCAGCGTACAAGTGCATGGTCGGAGTCCACGCTGGTGTTCCAGAAGGAGC